GAAATTAATTTACCTTGCTATCAAAATAAGTAATATTTTTACCTAAAATTTACTTCCAAGCAATAATTTATTTTTTAACATGTTTGAATACATGATTAATGGTCAAAACAATGGTTATCACTGGATGGATAAAAGATAATCCCACGAAGTCGCCGGCAAAACAAGTCAAAAATTTTAATGACTTGATTCCTTTCAACCTCAAAATTTATAAGACACTGAATGGTTTTCCTTAATTCATTCCATTCCATCTATGTTGGTTGTTGGAAAAACCTTTGACCGGCCTATATATAGAATAGAAGTAGTCCATTTCCATGCAAAATAATTGGACTTCCAAACTAACGAGAATGGATTCATTGAAAGGAAAGACTATGCTTCTTGCGGTGCTTTTGGTTTGTGCACTTCTTTCAGAAGGTGCACCACTAAAACATATCGACTATAAAAACTTTCCCCGATTTTCATGTGTTGGAAAAGGTGATCATGAAGGGAAGTGCAAAGCATTGAATCCACTCCCAATTGAGAAGAAGAGGGGTTGTAGTCCGATTACAGGTTGTCGATCGGGATGACTGAAGGTTATTAGGGCATTGTTTGTACTAGAGGTTCCCTTAATAAGCATGAAAACTTATCCAATGATTTCTTCTCGTGGAGGTCCAACATTCTTTATAGAAGAAAAATTTCGATGGAAATTTGAATTTGTAATAGAAAAATATTAATTTTTACATTGTGATTCGTGCTTCAAGATAAACGTAATTTTAAGAAGCACTAATGAAATTGTATTACATATATTCATTTGAGATGTTTTGTATATCCAAATCCATTATGGCTTCCAATATATCTCAAAACAACTATTTTGCAATTCAATCATGCTAGTCTATACTTTTGTTTTCTAGCATTAAAACGAAATCTTGTTAACTCTCTACTGCATGATTGTTCGATTTTATTTCTTAATCTTGTTTATTGATTATATGGTAATATTAATGTCGTTCAAATGCTTGATATTATATCACTTTGTAGCAAATATTGAAAGCTACTACAGGGATAGAAATATAGCTTTATAGTATAGAAGTTCCTATGAAAATGGGAAATGCCCTACCTTTGAGTGCGGTTTGAACTATTGATTTACGTAATTGGAAGTAACCAATTANAAAAAAAGGAATGAAATATCATCAGAATATGACCATAAATCAACTTTTAATTACATGATATATTTTTCAGATTTTTAGTCAAGGATTACAACCAATTTTTGGCATAGTAAACGTCCGAAATTGAAAAATATCTATTTCCAAGAAAATTGTATCCCTTTTAGTTATCTTTCCAACTCATTTTGAATCAACTCAATCAGATATTGGGAGACAAAGTTATGATAAAAATACTGACTGTTGGGCAGAGACAGAAAATCCGCGCACGAGTGTAACTTTCCTTATTCGATTGGAATTCTTTTGGAAACCAATTTGGACGTGATTTTTCAACAATTTTCGACCACTACAGATACCCAAAACGAGAATACACAAAGGGGGCTCTCATACTTTTCTCTTATACATATTATACTCCAATATTCATTAATTATCATCATCAAAGGAGGAGAATTCATTGTTTTCGTGAGAGAATTGAAGGGGACTTGCAAGAATTCAATTAAAGTGACGATCCAAACTTGGTATTGGACAAAGAAGAGAGAGCGCAAGTGGAGATTTATTAAGAAACCATTGAAGAGATTCAAGATTTCAAGATTTGTCTTCATCTTCTCAATTTATCGAAAATCCGGGTTATGTCTTTCCACTTATATATGATTTCTTGTTATTTAAATATGTTAGGCTAATTTTTCATATTTGCTAGGATGTGATGAACCCTTGTTATGAATTTTTAATTTGAATAATTTAATTGACGTTAATTTGTTTAATTGTTTGAATGTTTATTATCGTTTTCATGCTTTTCAATTAATTAGCCACTAGTTGAATTGTTTGTGAATTTTGTCGTTATCGAGAGAGACAATAGAATCATTAGCACAAAATAATAAATATTGTGAGGTTCGATAGAGGATAGAGATATACCTCTATGCTTCATATGGTTTTTATAAGATGTTCTAGCTCGTTTAATGCATTTATCATGTTTGCATCTTTCATCGAGGGATCAGAAGGACAAGTGAGAGGAATAGTTTTGATAACTATCAAGAGAGATTTTCAATTAAAATAGGAACATTGACCAACAAGCATGATTTCAAATTGTTAATTTAAATTGTTGAACTAAAAATGGAATAGCAAGGGGGATTCCACATCTTATCAATACTTCTCACAAATTTGATAAACTTTTACTTGCTTTCTATTTAGTTGATAGATTTAATAGTGTTAGTTACAACTCGACCTTGCTATTCGATTAAGGGAATTATTAGCTTTAACTCGATCAAACACATAGTCCTCGTGGGTTCGATACTCTACACACCACTTTATTACTTGTTCACGGTCCCGTTCACTTGCGGGTAATCAATCAATCACATTTTTGGTGCTGTTGCCGGGGACTATTGTTTTTTACTAGTTTTAGTTAATTTTAACTTTAATATGAATTTTTCTTATTTTTAGTTTAGCTCATTAATTTAGAAAATTTTTACAATGTTTCTTGCTTTCTTTTTCAAGACTTTGTATGCGAAGTTCGAGAACTGGTGATCTTGCTCAATTTGACCCAAAAATTGAACAAACATTCAACTTTTGAAGAAGACAATAGCTTGAAACACATCAAAAACGGAAAGAGGAAGACATGGCAAGCGAAAATCCGAATCAAATAGCCATCGGGGCTAATCTAGCAGTAGCACAACCGAATATCACTGCAGTCAATGAAAATGCAAAGCTCATGGGAGAGTATATAGTCCCACCGGTAGTGGAAAGCCAGTCCAATATCGTATATCCGGCGTTTGTTCAGGCAAACTTCCACCTGAGGACATATGTCATACATATTAAGGGATTCAGTAAGGGAATGGTTAGACACTTGCCCATCGCAGAGCATCACAACATGGAACCAAGTGAGTCAGAAATTTCTTAGCAAATATTTCCCACCGCAAAGGATTACAAAGCTAAGGGACAAGATCACTACTTTTCAGCAAATGGACTCAGAATGTTATTCAAAGCTTGGGAACAATACAAGGTTTACTTCGTCGGTGCCTGTAACATAGACTGCAGAAGTGGCTTCAAGTGCAATACTTTTACATTGGTTTGAACCCGATTAGTAGGGCTAACATAGACTCTGTGTGCGATGGTTCTATCACAAAAAGAACAGCGGACTACGTCTACCAAATCATGGAGGATTTGGCATTTACCAGTGCACTTTGGCCTATTGAAAGAACGACTGGAAAGAAAGCTGCTAGGGTATTCGAAGTTGATTCATTAACAGCACTTTCAGCACAATTGGCATCATTGGCATAGAAGGTAGATCAGATGAGTGTGGCCCAGACAGTGGGACTGAAATGGAAACATTGTGGAGGGAACCATGAGAGTGTTGATTGTAACGTAGGATCTCCTTTTACTCAGACGGTAGAAGACGTGAACTACACTCAGAATTTTCAAAGGCAACAACACAATCCAAATCCTAACACATATTATCCATGCTGGAGAAATTACCCAGGTTTTCAATGGAGTAATAATCAGGGCACTCACACGCGCCACAGCAGATCGCACGACCCAAATTTTAGCTGAATAAGAAGAAGTCTTCGTTAGAAGATCTTGTGACTAAGTTAGCATAAATATCCACTCAACGCATGCAGAGAACAAATAAGAGCTTGCAAGTTCAGGGTGCTGCCATAAAAAAATTTGGAGAATCAAATGGGGCAAATAGCCAAAGCACTATTAGAAAGACAACAAAGAGTATTGCCAAGCAACACTAAGATAAATCCTAAGCAGAGGTAATGGCAGTAAAAATTGTAGAGAATGAGGAGGTTGGGGCAATCATTACACGCAGTGGGATTCAACTTCCAAAAATCACAGTCGAAAGATGGGTGAAAGTAAATGAAAAGGTACCTTCCATAGATGAAGAGCAAGTGGATAAATCTGAACAGCCAGATAAAGTAGTTCCAAATAAAGAGTCAGAAAATCTACAGGTTAAGACAACCGCCCCTATCAATCCTCATGTGCCTCCTGTCCCATTTCCACAAAGATTGCAAAAGATGAAGTTGGAAGAACAGTTTGTAAGGTTCTTAGATATCTTCAAGAAGCTTCATGTTAACATTCCACTAATTGAAGCTATATCTCAAATACCAAACTATGCAAAGTTTCTGAAGGAGATTCTATCCAAAAAGAGAAGGCTTACAAATTTCGAGACCATCAAGTTAAATGAGGAGTGCAGTGCTATATTGCAGAATAAATTACCTCCTAAGATACAAGATCTAGGGAGTCTCAAAATACCTTGCTCAATAGGGAATGATTCAAAATTTAATTGTTTATGTGACTCAGGAGCAAGTATAGACCTAATGCCCTTCTCTGTATACAGGGAATTACAATTGGAAGAGCTAAAGGACACATCTATTTCCCTTCAATTAGGAGACAGATCAATCAAATACCCGCGAGGAGTGGTTGAGAACGTGCTCATTAAAGTAGGAAAATTTATATTCTCCATTGATTTTGTTGTCCTAGATATAGAGGAGCCATGAGATGCAGCATTACTTATCTTGGGCAAATCCTTCCTATCAACAAGTCGAGTTGTCATGGACTTTGAAAGTGGTGAACTAACATTGAGAGTGGAAGATAAACAAGAGAAGTTTAAGATCTACAACACTATCGAGAATCCAGTACATAGAGAGATCGATAAAAAAGCTAAGAAAGAGTGCAATTATATTAGTGCAAAGGTGCAACAAGGCTCGAAAGAGACAAAGCCTAAAAACTTAGGAAGCTTTGGACGAGAGGGAAACGGAGGGTTCAAGGTTTGGAAGGAAAAACGAAGATGCAAAGCGAAATTGCAAGGAGTTCAAATCAAGATACATGTTTAAACCACCCTGATCAATTCCTCCATATAATCTAGCTAAAGACTATAAATTAAACGCTTATTGGGAGGCAACCCAATCTTCTAACCCTTTTATTTATTTTACTTTCTGCATCGCATAGCATATAGATTTATTTTGATTATTTGGTTGCAATAGATTTAGGCACGTTTTAATTTGTAGGGTATCACCATCCTTAATAATCCACTTAGGCCATTGAATTTATTGTTGGTATTTTGATTGCTTAGGCTAAGTAACACGTGTATTAGGTTATTTGATTTTTAGTGTTTGATTTAACTGCTATGTCAGGAACATGACATTGTGGAACACTCAAACCAACATAGACCAAATGAGAAATATGATGACAGAGATTGTCGAGCCGTCATCCATAGTGCCTCACATATTCAACAGAAAACTTCGAGGAGTATTTTCTTCATTTTCTTCCCCATTCCCTTATACTCTTACTTTTGTTTTAAGACATTGAGGACAATGTCGGGTTCAAGTTTGGGGGTGAAAAAAACATTGAGGTTTTTGGTTTTCGTATGCTTGTGTGTTTTGGTGCGTTTGTTTAGTACTACTTAAAAAAAAAAAACAACAACAAATTTTTTTATTAGGTTGCGTGCTTGTGTGGGTTGGACAGCCCGGCTGGCAATGATGAAGTAAATTGAGATTTAGTGTTAATTTATAAACTGTGGATAGGTTGCATGCTAGATTGATTGAAACTTAAACTTGCAAAACTTGATATTATACGAGCACAAGAATTGAGTTTGACATTGTGATGAAATGAGTTGTTTCATGCTCTTGATAGGTGAATTTAGATGGACATAAATGCGTTACCCAAACCATTCTAAACTAATTATCCTTAGACCAAATATAGCACAGTTTGGGGTGATTTTACTATTGTAGGAAGATATGGATGTGGCTAGGGATTCCTTGTGTGAAAAAAAAAATTGTGTGGTTTGTTTGAGATGAACATGATAAAATTGGGTGAAAGTCTTGAGTTGGAGATTAGTTTTCTTGGATAGGTCTATGATAAGGGATATTGCACTAATCAATACATCTATTATAAAATTTAAAATTTCTCTTTGAAGCCTTTATGACTTGAGCAATTAAGCCTGCAAGGGTATCTTAAAACCTGATGCCCTAAAGTCATCTGACTTGAGAGTCATCGACCTAAAGCTTGCTACAAGGGTCATTTAGAAAGCAATTAGAGATGAAGTTGCCATTGAAAAAATAAATAATTGTTCTCTTCGAAACCTTTTTAACTCGGGTTATTAAGCCTATAAGGGTGTTTAAAAACTTGGTGCCCTAAAGTCGTCTGACTTGGGAGTCATTGGCCTAAAGCCTGCTACATGGGTCATCTAGAAAGCTTAAAGGGGAGTTCACAAAAATAAAAATAAAAATAAAAATAAAAATGCATTTAATGCCTTGTTAACTCCTAACACTTGTTCGAGAAAATTTGACTTTCGATGAAGGATAATTAGCCTAGTTGAGTCCTGTAGTCGAAGCAATCAAATAATTGGAGAATCCTTATTCATTGATGTGTTGACTTGCAACTAGTGACATCCACCCAAATTGGAAAGGGTGAGGATAGTAATGAAAAACTCAATCTTAGATCACACGCTGGGGAAAGAGTGAAAAAAATAAGTTTGGGGGTATGTGAATTTTACGAGAGATGAAAGGATAAATTTGACCATAGAGGGTCGGAAATTGTAACAACCTGTGAAGTCATTAATGTCAACCTAGTTCTTCACACACACACACACACGTCGATTTTGCATTAAAAAAATGAATATTGGTTTGGTATTGTGACTTTGAAGCAGTTTGTCTATTTAATACGGTGATCTCCATTCATGATGTAAAAAGCTAGATTATCCAATCAAAATATTTTACATGTTTGTGTGTTTGTTAAATTAAGTTTTGATTTTGTTTGAGGACAAACAAATGTTTAAGTTTGGGGGTGTTTGATAAGTGTATTTTATACACTTATGTAGACCTAAAAATATAGACATTTAATAGTTCTTTAAAGTGATTATAGCCTAATTTGTTGTATATTTCATTTATTAGGTAAAACTCGATGGTTGGAAGTTAAACTGAAAGAAAGAAGTGAAAAAGGGAAAAAAATGACGAAGTACAAAGTTGAGGACCAAATTGCAAATACCCAATGGTTGAATTGGACCATAAGAGACATTTTAAAATTTATGGGAGTCAATTGGATGCAATTAGAAGTCAAAAAGGAATGGAATATCATCAGAATATTACTATAAATCGACTTCTAATTACATAATATATTTTTCAGATTTTTAATCAAGGATTGCGACCAATTTTTGGCATGGTAAACATCCGAATTGGAAAATATCTATTTCTAGAAAAATTGTATCCCTTTTATTTATCTTTCCAATTCATTTTGAATCAACTCAATCGAATATCGGGAGACAAAGTTATGATCAAAATACTGACTATTGTGCAGAGACAAAAAATCTGCGTGCAAGGGTAGCTTTCCTTATTCGATTGGAACTCTTTTGGAAACCAATTTGGACGTGATTTTTCACCAATTTTCGACCACTAAAAATACCCAACAGAAGAATGCACAAAGGGGGCTCTCATACTTTTCTCTTATATATAATTTAATCCAATATTCATCAATTATCATCATCGAAGGAGGCGAATTCATTGTTTTTGTGAGAGAATTGAAGGGGACGTGCAAGAATTCAATTAAAGTGAAGATTCAAACTTGGTATTGGACAAAGTAGTGATAGCGCAAGTCGAGATTTATTAAGAAACCATTGAAGAGATTCAAGATTTCAAGATTTCTCTTCATCTTCTCAATTTATCAAAAATTCGGGTTATGTCTTTCCACTTATATATGATTTCTTATAATTTAAATATGTTAGGCTAATTTTTCATATTTGTTAGGATGTGATGAACCCTTGTTATGAATTTTTAATTTGAATAATTTAATTGACGCTAATTTGTTTAATTGTTTGGATGTTTATTATTGTTTTCATGCTTTTCAATTAATTGACCACTAGTTGAATTGTTTGTGAATTTTGCTGTTATCGAGTGAGACAATAGGATCATTAGCACAAAATAATAAATATTATGAGATTCGATAGAGGATAGAGATATACCTCTATGCTTTATATGATTTTTGTAAGATGTTCTAATTCGTTTAATACATTTATCATGTTCGCATCCTTTATCGAGGGATAGGAAGGTCGCATGAGGGGAATAAATTTGATAACTATCGAGAGAGGTTTTCAATTAAAATAGGAACATTGACCAACAAGCGTGATTTCAAATTGTCAATTTAAATTGTCAAACTAAAAATGAAGTAGCAAGGGGGATTCCACATCTTAGCAATACTTCCCCACATCTTAGCAATACTTCTCGCAAATTTGATAAACTTTTACTTGCTTTCTATTTAGTTGATAGGTTTAATACTGTTAGTTACAACTCGACCTTGTATTCGATTAAGGGAATTATTAGCTTTAACTCGATCAAACACATAGTCCTCATGTGTTTGATACTCTACACACAACTTTATTACTTGTTCACGATCCCGTCCACTTGCAGGTAATCAATCGATCAGAAACCAAAGTTGGAGGACTTGGTGTGCAATTCTTTGGGGACTAAACTGAAGAGAAGGAAAAAGATGGCTAAGGCGCACGCTTAAGCCCACAGCTAAGGTGCACACAATAGCCCTAATTTTGGACAACTGAGAGTAACCAAAGGGTTAAGGCACCCGCCTCATTTTGTACTAGACCCACGCCTTAGGTTGAAAATCAGGACCTAAGCGCACATTTTAACTTTTCCAGGGGCTCTTCTTGTAATTTGGTTAGGACGATTTTTATCCCTTTTAAACACCATTTTCACCCTTTCTAACCATTAATTATTCGTCTTAAACAAACCCTAGCCTTGAGGAAACAAAGAAGAAAGGGAGAAAGGAGAAGATTCAAACCAAGATTTTGGAGTTCAAGATAAGATTCAAGATTTTACAACCCTATTTTTATTCAAGAATACATTTAAGGGAAGGATCTCTTCTTTCATTTTGTATCTTTTCATTAGCTCCTTCATTTTGTAATGGGTTCTCCATGTTCTAGCCTTACTTGATAATGTGCTAAGGGTTTATAGTTGGGATTTGTGATGTAACTTAACCTAAGTTTCATTAATATCAATATATTTACCATTTAATACTAAGGTGCCATTGTTCTTTTGCATTTTTTATTGTGTTTACATTTCCATCATTTGTTTGGCCAATAGACGATGGGGTTAGGTAGTTTGTGCAATTATTGAGAGATGGTTGTGCTTTCTAGACCAAAGAAATTAATGTCCTAGGTTTTTTTTTTTTATGATATAGAGATATACTCCTAACTTTATGTGACTTATTGAGTTATTTCCACTACAATTTGATGCGGTTGATTGCGTTTTTATTAACATAGAGCTATAGTGGGTAAAGCGAATCAATTTGGGTTAGTTTCCCTCGAGAAAAGGCAATTAACTAAAATTAGAAAAATCTGGTTTAACATTGTAACTTGTTAATTTACATTTTTGGTTTGTTGAAATATTAATGAAATGACGGTTAGGTAAAATCATAAATCACAACCCATCTAAAATTAAGAACATTTTCACTTTCATAACCGTTAATTAAATCTAAGCCTAGAAGTATTTTT